GGAAGGGGGCAGGAATAGCAGGTGGGGGGGGGTCAGGGCATGCCAGGGCATGTCTAGGCATGTCTAAAGCAGCAGCCAAGCATTTTACAGAAGCTAAAAGAGCAATTAGTGGGGGTCTGGAGGGATTGGGGGGTAGTGGGTGAATGAAGAGGGTCTCAGGGTCCTACAATATATGCAGGTAAAACTCTCAAACACATAACAATGAATACATTCTAAAAATGTCTATAAATATATTTATTCTTGGGGCTGGAGAGATGACTCAGCAGATAAGAACACTGACTGTTCTTGCAGAAGACCTGGGTTCAAATCCCGGCATCCCATGGCAGCTAACAAATGTCCGTAACTCCAGTTCCAGGGGATCTGACAGTCTTTTCTGTCCTCCGCAGGCATCTGTTTCTCCCTAAATAGTTGAATAACAGCACGGTTCTTTTCACACATTTTTACCCAATTCACTTAATACATTTTTAAATGGAAGATTTTGTAATTATTTTTAATTGGATTGAGATTTAATTGATTTTATTATATTATTAACTACTTACCTTTTATATAGGGACTATCGGGTGGAAAGAGGAAAAGCAGAGCAAAACGCAGATCTTTTGGAGAAAAGACTGTCCTGCTCCTGCAGAGTCCCTCCCCGTATGAATTTGAAAGGACAAGAAGATTCTTTGGATATTTTCCCAGTCAAGGTGAGAACCGGTTTTGACTAGTTTTTGAAGAAACAAGAATTTCTCACCTCATGTCCCTCCAGGAGACTAGGGTGAGTGTTAGCTGGGTGCTGGTCCTCTTCTGAATGGAAGATCCAAAGAAGCAGGACCCTGTGGTGGGCTGGAGGCTTTTGCAATGCAAGGAGAACTGAAAACAGATTTTCCAGAAAAGTTTGGAGGGAATGGGCTGTGAGAGCACTGAAGGAGAGGTAGTGAGAGAATGAGATGTTGGAGTTCTAAATTTCTGGTGTAGATTAGTTCTGGCTGCCAAAAAAGGGAGGTTTGTGGTTCTGGATGTAGGTAAAGAGATGCAGAAAGTGAATGCCATTGGGGGAGACACAGGAATCCTACAAGAGAAATCGTTGGCTGCTCCTGGACATTGGGTTTCAGAAGTGTTACACCCAGATCTCCCAACCCCCAGTGACCACCAAGGAGTCTGGAGTGTATGCAACAGCAAAGAGCCTTTATTCCAGCTTAAGCTCAGGCCCTCAGATCCATACTGAGAGTCCCGACCTAGCGGGGGTAGGCTTTTATAGGGAAGTTTCACAGAAGCCTGCATACGCCAAGTATCCTTTAAAATGATTGGATGGTCCTATACCCTGAGTACGGGGAGGATTCTTATTGGTAGGGGCTGTCTTTAGGGCATTGGGATGTGCTGACTGTTATCTGTGGGGCCAGAAGTTTCTGTTTTTACATTATAAGGCTGCTATATAGCCGGGCTTGCTTGATCTATAGCTTTCCGGGATGGGGGTGGTAACTGAAGATTACAACATGCCTGGGCATGCCCGGGCTTGCCTGAAGCAGCTAGTCAAAATGGAGTTAGTGCCGCCTTAAGCCAAGCAAATTACAGAAGCAGAAAGAAGCAGATGAGTCAGGGTCCCACAGAAGGATATGAATTTGGATCCAACAGCCAGAAATCTATAGGACGAGTGGGTGTTACAGAAGCCTGAAAGAGGAAAGGAGCCAGACATTGTTTACATGTTTACTGTGAGATCCTTAGACCTGCACAGTTTGTTATATAACCTGAATATGAACCAAGGACCTACGTGATCAAATTACTGTCAGGGATTTCTATTTCTATTTTTTAAAAAGACTTCAAGGGCTGAAGAGATGCCCAGGAGTTAAGAGTGTTTGCTTTGAAAGCTTGAGGACCAGAGTTCTGATCCCAGCACCTGTTAACTGGCTGGACATGGTTAGGCATCCTTACATCCTTACATTCCTAGCTTAGAGATGGCTGGAGACAGAAGGATTGCTGGGGCTTGCTGGCTGTCAGCCTAGCCTGAAAAAAATGCAAGTTCCAGGTTCAGTAAGAGACCTTGCCTTAAGGAAATAAGGCAGAGAGAGTTATAGAGGGGGACACCTGACACCATCCTTGGCCTCTACATGCATGCACAGACACACACATGTGCCTGCGCCACACATACATACATACATACACACACACACACACACACACACACACACGTATACACACATATCCAGTAACAACTTTCAAAGTAGTTGAAAGTAATTCCGATTTTTATTTGCATCTCAAGTGATTCATGATAACACCCTCCATATTTTGAATTTATGGATCCCTCCATTCTTAAAACATCCTCCAGGCCAGTCGAGGTGGCACACACCTTTTATCCCAGCACTCCGGAGGCAGAGGCAGGAGGATCTCTGTTCAAGTTCAGGGGCAGCCTGGTCTACATAGTGAGTTCCAGGACAGCTGGGGCTCAAGGGAGACGCTGTCTCAAAAATCCCCAAAAAAAAAAAAAAACCAAAAAAAAAACCCAAACATCCTCCAGAAGTCAGAATCCATGCAGTTCTGGCTCCTTTTCCCTCTTGGTTTTTAGCGATACAAACCTATTGCTCCTGTTCCTTCTGTGATTCTTGTTCTTTGTCTCTTTTTGTCTTTTTCTTTTTTTTTTTTCTTTGAGACAAGGTCTTCCTGTATCCTAGAACTTGGTAGGTAGACCTCAGCCTTACAGAGATCTGCCCGCGTCTGCCTTTTGAGTTCTAGGATTGAAGGTGTATGCCATCATGCTGGCTCATTCTTTTTCTATCTCTCAATTTCACATAACAACAATAGTAACACAATCACAGCAGCTGAACTTGCTGACTCAGCTTTCAGAGCTGAGGTGAGGAGGTTTCGTGACTCTATAAAGGTGGGCTTCCCTTATGGAAGGAGGAAGCTCAGCAGAGAGGGTAAGATGGCTCAGTGGATAAAAGCTCTTGCTGAGAAAGCCCAATGACCTGGTCCCATAGTAGAAGGAGAGAACTGACTCCCAAAAGTTGTCCTCTGACCTCAACACATGTTCTATGGCATGTAGATTGCCTGTACTCACACATGCCACACATACACAATAATAATAAATTAAAATTTTCAAAAATACAAAAAGCTTGGCACTGTTACTTTTTTAAATTATTAATTTTCTTTATGTGTGTGTGTGCCACATATGTGGGAGTTCCAGAGGGCATCAGATATTCTGGACCTGGAGTTACAGGTGACTGTGAGCTGTCTGGCATGGGTGCTGGGATCTGAACTCAAGTCTTCTGCAAAAGCAGCAAGTGCTTTTAACCACTGAGCCATCTCTCCATCCTGTTATTTTGTCATATTCACAATAGAAATCGGCTAGGAGGAAGAGATATAACTTCTTCCATTTATATGATAGAGGTTATTCTACTTGATAAATATAATTCTCTGGCAGTACTGGGAATTGAGTGTAGGTCCTTATGCATGTTAGACAAGAGCTACAGTCCCAGCCCAACATAACTATAATTCTTTATGGAAATACCCATTTCTGAAAGCCTTTCACTTAATAGTTTTAGTATTCACTGGTGACCTTTGCCTGAATCAGTTATTTCATTCAGACTTAGAAAATGATGATTTCTATCTGGACAGAATAGCATATAGCTGTAATTCCAGTACTAGGGGAGACTAAGGTATGGGGATCTCTAGTTTGATACCAGCCAGGACTATGTAGCAAGACCCTGTCTTAAAAAAACAAAAAGATAGGTTGGGCATGGTGGCACACGCCTTTAATCCCTGTGCTTGGGAGACTGAGGCAGGTGGATTTTTGTGAGTTCAAGGCCAACTTGGTCTACTAGCAAGGTCCAGGCCAGCTGGGGCTACAGGGAGACCCTGTCTCAAAACAGCAACAACAGCAACAAAAAAGAAGATATCCAAATGGCTCAGCAGGTAAAAGCACTTGCTGTCTGTCACTTTAATTATTTGCATTAAGAGTCATCTCACCTGAGGTTTTGTGCTATTCCTATATTTGTAGTTCAAAAGGAGAGACATAGATGCTTCTGTATTAAATTTCAAGTGTGTGTGTGGCAGGGAGCTGGAGATATGGCTACGTGGTTGAGAATACTGGCTGCTATTACAGAGGACCCTGGCAGCTAACAACTATTCTTAACTCCAGTTCCAGGGGATCCATGCCTTCTTTTGGTGTTGTACATACATGGTGCACCTACATTCATGCAGGCATAATGTTCATACACATAAAATGAAAATAAATAGGGGGCTGGAGAGATGGCTCAGTGATTAAGAGCACTGGCTGCTCTTGAGGAGGACCTGGGTTCTGTTCCTAGCCACCCACATGGTGACTTACAACTGTCTGTAACTCCAGCTCCAGGAAATCTGATGTCTTCTGATCTCTGCTGGCATTGCATGACACGGGTGCACTTACCTGCATGCAAGCAATGCACTCAAACACATAAAATGAAAACATTAAATAAAAAATTTAAAAATTCAAGTGGGAAGATTAACCTCCATGTTGGCATCTTCAGGATAAGGGTGAAGCTGACCTGGCCACCAGCTTTGAGAGGGACATTTTTAACTCCAAACAACCAGATGATGGGCAGAAAATTTCAAATAAGTGTCAACAAGATTTGATCCACAAAGAGACACTAACATCTGAGTCAGACAGACCTCCGCATTTCTGCAGCTGGGAAACGACACCTGAGCAAGCCCATCATCAGGATTTCCTTGGTCAGTTGGCTACTCTTCTGAGTGACAGAATTGGCCCCATACCAGCCACAGAGGAAGCAGTGAAAGAGAGGATCCAGGAAATGGGTGCAAACGAACAATTGTGGAAATCTGTAAGTAGTGATGAAAAGTTATTCTTTCCAATCTCATTCTCTCTCTCTATGTCTCTCTGTCTCTGTCTCTGTCTCTCTGTCTCTCTGTCTCTTTCTCTCTCTGGTGTATGTATTCATTTGTGTGTGCACCTATAATGTTGGTATGCATGCATGTGTGTTCCCATGCATGCATATGGAGGCCAGAGGTTGACCTCAAGCATTTTCCCTGGAGCTTGCTGATTCATCTAGGCCGCCCCCCCCAGTGAACTCTAGGGATTTGCCTGGCTCTGCTTCCCCAGCAGTGAAACTGCAGACACGTGCCATGCCTGGCTTTTTACATGATTGAGTGTCCCACCTCAGGTATTCATGCTAGTGTGGCAAGCACTTTACCAACTGAGTCATTTCTGCACCACCCCCCCATTTTAGTCATTTAAGATACAGATGTTTTTATAATAATTTAATAAGCTTCATGGCTTCATTGTAATTTTTTAAAAAGGTTTATATCTTTTATTACTTTATATGTCTGTGTATGCCTGTGTGAATGCCTGCCATTTATGTGTGTGCTCATGGAAGCCAGATAAGGGTGTTGGATTTTCTGGAGCTGGAGTTACAGGGAGTTGTGAGCCACCCAGTGCAGGTGCTGGGAACCAAACTCCCAGGTCCTTTGGAAGCAGTAAGTACTCTTAGCCACTGAGCCGTTTTTTCTGTTCCTTCATTGTAATTTTGATTGCATTTTTATTACTACAGTGGAAGAAGAGAACAGGTTGTCCTTACTGTACTGGAGGAACTATAGCTTGGTTAGAGCTCAGAGCCCTGCTCTGAACCCTAGTTCTGCCATTTGCCAGCTGTGTGTTCTTGGGAAGGCTACTTATCCTCTGTACCTCAGTTTCCTTTGTAAAATGGGGTGAGGAGGTATCATTCCCATCTCTCTGCATGGCCACAAAGATTAAACACATTGATACATGATAAACTCGAGGTGTAGTTCAGTGTAAGTTCAATAAGTACATTAATAGTACTATGATAGCTGGACATGATAGCACATGCCTATAATCTCAGGTTTTGGGAGGCTGAAGGTAGGATTGTGAATTCCAGGCCAGTCTGGGCTACATAGCAGGATCATGTCTCAAAGAACAACAATAAAAGCATTATGTAACTGGGGCTAGAGAGATGGCTCAGCAGTTAAGAACACTTGCCGTTCTTCCAGAGGACCCGGGTTCAATTCCCAGCACCCGCATGGCAGCTATCAACTGCCTATAACTCCAGTTCCAGGGGATCCAATACCCTTTTCTGGCCTCCACAGGCTTTGCATGACAGGGATGCATTTACATACCTGCAGGCAATATACTAATATACATAAAATAAAAAATAAATAAAATTTTAAAAATTATTATGTTTCCTAGTACAAATGCATGTTATCCTTATGTGTCAAAGTTGAATATTTCTTTCTTTTCTTTTTCTATTTTTTTTTTTTTTTTTTTTTTGGTCTTTTTGAAAAAGGGTCTCCCTGTAGCCCCAGCTGGTCTGGAACTCACTATGTAGACCGGGCTGGCCTGGAACTCACAGAGATCTGCCTACCTCTGCCTCCCAAGTGCTAGGATTAAAGGTGTACACTATCATATCCAACCTTCTTTTTAAAAAAAATAATTTATTGAGAATTTCATACAGGAATATAAGCATATAAGATGTTTTGATCAAATCCATGCCCACTCCCTCCTCTAAGAGATGTATTTATTTTTATTTTATTTGCCTGCATGTATGTATGTATGTATATATCTGTATGTATGTATGTATGTATGCATGTATGTATGTATGTATACCATGTGAATGCCTGGTGCCTGCAGAGGCCATAAGAGGGTATCAGATCCCCTGAAACTGGAGTTACAGATGGCTGTGAACTGCCATGTGGGTGCTAGGAACCAAACCCAGGTCTTCTGTAAGAGTAGCCAGTACTCTTAACCACTGAGCCATCTCTCCAGCTCCTCTATTCTTTTTTTGTTTTGTTTTGTTGTTGTTGTTGTCATTGTTGTTTGTTTTTTGGTCTTTTTGAGACAGGGTCTCCCTATAACCCCAGCTGGCCTGGAACTAGCATGTAGACTAGGCTGACCTCAAACTCACAAAGATCTGCTTGCCTCTGGCTTCCAAGTGCTGCGATAAAGGGCATACGCAACCATGCCTGGCAGTGCCTCTATTTTTTTAAATATTTTATTTATTATTTTTATTATTTTATGTGTATGAATGTATTGCCTGCATGTATGTGAGTGCACCCATGTCGTGCAATGCCATAGAGGTCAGAAGAGGGCTTCAGATTCCCCTGGAACTGGAGTTAAGGATGGTTTGTAGCTGCCATGTGGGTGCTGGGAATCGAACTCGGGTCCTCTGCAAAAGCAGTCAGTGCTTTTAACCACTGAGCCATCTCTCCAGCCCCACGCACCTCTATTTTTTAAAACAAAAATTATAGCCAGGTGTGTGATTAACATTTGTAATCCTAGCACTTGGGAGTCTGTGCTGTAGAAGTGCTATGAGTTCAAGACAGAGTGAGTCCCTGCCTCAAAAAAACCAATCAAGCAAACAAAAACCCCTTAATACATATCAAATCTACTCATTTGTTCAATAACTCAATGTCACCACAATGTCGATATAAATAGATCTCGCACATAGTTTGAAATGACGTGGCAAGCATGGAGCAATTAGGAAGCGTGTGTTTACGCATCCTTTCTTACAGAGAACTGAAACTTTGCAGCAGGAAATTCAGGTGCTCACTAAGAGGCTGGAGCAGCTGTACCATCTTTATGAAGAAGCTTCTCAAGAACCACCCCGAACTGAAGAAAATGACAGGGAGCAAAAAATACCCTTGAAACATCTGGAAGGAAACATTGCTGTCAGTGACTTTTCTCCGGAGAGATTAGACATGGGCAAGAAGAGAGTAAGTATTTCTGGAAGGAGACACGTTTTCTGAGGATGAAAATGATCACAGTTTATTTATTAATAACTTTGTTAATTATCTTTTGTCCCCCCTTGCTCTCTCTCTCCCTCTGTGTGTGTGTGTGTGTGTGTGTGTGTGTGTGTGTGTGTGTGTGTGTGTGTGCAATAGGGTCTTGCTATGTATATAACAAATTTGCAGCAGTCCTTCCTCAGCCCCCCATGTGCTGGGAGTACAGGCATGCACCATGACATCTGGCTTATACTTTTCTTAATAATGGGAAATGGGGATTTGCTTCAGATCTTTAGTGCCTGATTTTTTCAAAAGTCTCTCCTCTTTCCACATCTCCTTTTCTCTGTTGTGCACATATTTGATGACTATTACGATGGCATCTGCTAAGATGTATCTTATTTTTAATAGTTTTTTTTTGAATAGGGTTTCATTTAGCAATATAGCCTAGGCTAGCCTGGAACTCTTGATGTAGCCAAGACTTGGTCTGTAATCCCTGTCTCAGGTTCCTTAGTGCTGTGGTTAGAGGCATGCACCCCTGTATAATACTTATCTTAATGGACCAAAAATTTTTTTGAGACACAATTTCACTGTGTAGCTTTGACTGGTTTGGAATTCGCTCTGTAGAACAGTCTAGCCTTGAACTCACAGAGATCTACCTGCCTCTGCCTGCCCAGTGCTGGGATTAAAGGCGTGTACCACCACACCCAGCTATTTTTCCTGTTAAGAATAATGATGTAAAAATCATGTTGCATGAGCCAGGCATGGTGACCCACGCCTTTGATCCCTGCACTCGGGAGGCAGAGTCAAGCAGATCTCTGTGAGTTCAAGGCTAGCCTGGTCTATATTTCGAGTTCCAGGCCAACTGGGGCTACAGGGAAACCCTGTCTCAAAAAGAAAAAAAAAAATCTGTTGCATGTGTATCTTTATCCAAACATTTATTTTCTTATACTATATTCTCAGAAAAAGATGGACGAATCTATGGTACTACATAGTACTTATAAAATTGGTTGTTTAACTGTGTCCTTGGTAATACCGAGTCATCATTTTAATTTTCATTATTATTTTAATAATCCATATTTATGCTGACAGATGTTTTACTTATGCAGTTATTGTTAAGCCTGATAAAAGTATCTTAACTGCAGTTCTTAATTTCAATATTGTTAATTTTTACAAAGGAGAACTCCAGGACTCAGGCTTCCCTGACAGATAAGCACAACAAGAAGTTCAAACAGTTGGAAATGTTATTAAATATTCGTCAGAATTCAGTGATGGCTACAACTCCAAGAATGGAGGAGAAAATTCAGAGACTTCAGAAACAGCTCAGTGATTTGAAATTGTCAAATAAAAATATGAAAACCCAACTGACAAGAATAAATGTCCTTAAAGTAAGTAAAGCGAGTGGGACTTCCCTTAAGCTTTGCACTCTTCCTGTTTTAGTTGTGTGTCTCTCTATGAACTTTATCACTTCTTGCTTATTTAGTGTAGAAGACAGTTTGTAACAGAATAAAGTACAGGCACTCTTAAGGGATAAGAGTGGGTCAAAGGGACCACTGTAGAAGAGATACTCATGGTATGAGTGGACACTGGCAGAGATACCATCTTTCTCAATGAACTTTAAAACATTCTTGTTGTTTTGAGACAGGGTCTCCCTGTAGCCCAGGCTGACCTCCATCTCACAGAGCTCCATCTGCCTCTGCCTCCAGAGTTCTGGGATTAAAGGTGTGTGTCACCACACCCGGCTTAAATTTTTTTAAGTGCTAGAGAGATGGTTCAGTGGTTACAAACACTGGCTACTCTTGCAGAGGACCCCAGTTTGGCACCCACATGGCAGCTAACAACCATCTATTAACTCCAATTCCAGGGGATCTGATGCCCTCTTCTGGCCCCCACAGACATTGCACACATGGGTGCACTTATATATCTGCAGGTACGTGAGTTGTCATGTCTGTTATTCAGAGGAGCTCTAATCACCATCATCTGATCACCTTCACCTCCTTCCTTTTATTCACTTTTTGTCCCCATGTAGGACAAAACAATGGAAAGGCTCAGGCAGTCTGTAACAAAAGTTGAAACAGTGAGGGAGACGGCAGCTCCAAAAACAGACAACTTGAAAACTACATTAGATTCTGCAGAGCAAGAGGCCAGGCCAGGCAGAGAGAAGGCCCCTCGGTCACCAGCGGGGCTCACGCAGGAGCCCTCCACCACAAAGGGTGCACTGAGAGGACCGTCAGGACGAGAGCAAGAGGTTTGGTTGCTTCTTACCATGCTGAAAATGAACCTCACTGACGTGACAAACACAACCTCAACTTAGACTTTAACTACCTTCAACAAAAGGGGTTTCATTCACCCGTGGCATTGTACCCAGCCCTCTTAGAAGGGTGGAGACATCCCAGGCCTTAGGATCATCATCTAACAGTTTACAGGGCCTTTCCTATCTCTGGATAGCTACGTGACAGTTTGTCTGTTTGCCTAGCAACTATTGGTTTGTTTTTGTTTTTCTATATGACTAGAAACAGCCACTGACAGTCATGAAGTTTCATATTTAGTTTTTGCCACACGGAGAGAAAAGCCTAAGAAAAGGTCTTATTGACCAGGTTAGATCAAGTGTGTCTCCCTATGAGTCCACTGTGGCTAGGAATGAGATATGCTGGTTTTCACTTAGCACATAACCTCTGACTAACCAGGATGGTAATACTATGTAAGAGTGAAAATTAAGAGGAAACCATCTGTCTTAGATTGTATGTCACAAACTAGTATAAGACAGTGCTTCCAAACTTGCTCAGACACAAAAATTACAGCTCTTACCTTTAAGAAAATAGGAGAGTTTATTCTGAAGCCAAATATGAATGACCATGACTTAGAAACACAGATTTAGGTTACTCCAAATGCTATGTTCCAATGTGGTAACAGTTTCATGAAGTTTTTATAGTAACAGAAAAAAGAAAAGAATAAATCAAGACACTTTAAAAACACTGAGGAGACTTCAGGTAAGTGGGTTATACAGCAAAATGGGGAGATCTCTGCTGTAGACCTCAGGGACTATCTGATGACATTTTCAGCCTGTGGGTTGGTGGAAACTAGAGTCCTATATGTACATTCCCAGAAGGATTTACCTAATAGTCACAAGAATGCTAGGTTACACACAAAGATGGGCAATAAGTGGCTATTTAAGGGAACAAGATAGTCCAAGATAAATTGACTGTGGACCTGCAACATTCTATCTCTCCACAATCATTGACGTTCTAAACAGTTAATCAGCTTTTGTAGAATGTTTAACATAGGTGCAACTTTTTTTCTGGAAACTTCAATTAACATCATTACCTCATTAGGCAAAAATAAATGAATAACTACATACATACATAAATAAAATTTTTGTATGCTGGGGATCAAACCCAGGGTCTCACTGATAATTTGGGATAATTGTTTAAATTATATGTCACATCTCCGCTTCAGTTGTTCAAGAAATTTGAAAGTAACCCATGACTTTAAGATACAGGGGCTGGAGAGATGGTTCAGTGGTTAAGAGCACTGGCTGTTCTTGCGGAAGACCTGGGTTTGAATTCCTGCACTCACATGACAGCTAACAGCTATTCATAATTCCAGTTCCAGGGGCTCTGATGAGGCTCCGTGGGCACTGTACTACACAGGTGCACATACATGCAGGCAAAACACTCATCTGCATTAAAAAGAAAGGAAAAGATAGAGCAAAGGAGCACTTTCCCTTTTCCTTCTGTTTCTCTCTTCCCTGCATGATTGCTTTCTAGCTTGTTTTTGCCCCTCGTCAGTGTCCCTTTTACATTTTCTGTCAAACCACTTCTCCTTTGGGCCTGCTGTAGCTCCTCTTCATTTCCAAGATGGTTTTCTATTGTTGTTGCTTGATTCAATGATCAACTCAATGATCTTCCTTCTCCAATAAGCATCTTGGACATAGTTTTTGACCAGCTCTATTTTAATTCCTGATTTAAAAGAAGCACCCCCCCATCTGTACATTCTTGTTTAACTGATAATTTCATTTTTACTAGACTGCTGTATCCAAATACGGCTCTTGTCTGTCATGGCTTTTTCTGTGTTTTTTTTGGGGGGGTGGGGGTGGGGAGAGGGTATGTGCATTTTAGATGTTGCTGCCCATTTTCATCTGAAAGTCGTTCCATGTGATAGACTTTGCCATTTATCTATTCACTTTAAAATCGCTTTAGCCCTGATCTTTGCATTTTTCCAGTTTAGAATAGTTTCTACTAAGGATCTGTGACTATTTTAGCTTAATACTGCCCTCTTTCGTTCTCACAACCAGGGTTCTTTCTGTTCTTTTTGAGCAACTGGGTACTGAACCTAGGGCCTTGCATCCGCTAGGCAAGCTTTTTACCACTAAGCTGTAAGCCCAGTTCTTTAATTTTTTTTTTTTTTTCCTTTTGAGACAGGGTCTCTCTAAGTTGGTCTTGAACTTTCTATCTTGCTGTAGCTGGTATTACAGTTTCGAGTGGTTTCTAGGTTACTAAAACAGCCCTTTATTTGGAGGGTGGAGGGTTTATGTGATGTCTGGCTCTGTGACACTCTCCTTAATTCCATCATTTGCCTTTTCCTTTTCCGCTAGTGCCTCTATCAAGGAGCTCACCTACCTCTCCCTTGAAAGCACTCTGCAGCCTGCCCTCAGAAACCTTACCTTCTAGAACTTCCATTTCCCATCTGATATGCTTCCAAGCCTTTTTCTTTTCCTTCTCCCCTGGCTTGTTCTCCATGTTGCAAACTGTCTTGTCTCTGGGGAGTAAGGTTGTCTGTCCTACAACAATGGACACTGGCTGTACCTTCCTCTGGAGCTGCCTCACTGGCCCAGGATATTCATATCCTCACTGATATGCAAAGGGAAGGCTGTGATATTCTTTTGATATAATTTGTGGGTAGTTTTTATTTGCTCTTTGTCTCTCACAAGCCTGTGGAGGATAGGTTGAGAAATAGTATTGAGGACTGCTATTAACATAAAGCAAATCAGAAACCTAAAGTATAAGTTTCCATGCCCTGTGACATGCCTATAGTTCCAAGGATGGGAGACTGAGGCAAGTGGGTCACTAGTGTCCAGGAGTCTTAGGGCTAGTCTAGGTAACAGAAAAAATAAAAAAGTAGGCAGGAAAGATGACTCAGTGGGTAAAAGTGTTTGCTGTCAAGCCTGATGACCCAAGGTTCAATACCCAGGACCTTAATGGTAGAAGAAGAGAACCACACTCTTGAAAGATGTCCTCTGACTTCTACATGCACATGCATGCACACATGCACAAATAAATACATGTTTAAAAAAGCAATTGTATTATGAGTAAAAGATAAAAAGTAGTAATAAAATTGGGTTTAGTGTACAAAAGTGTAAAAATAGGAAAAAAAAGATAAAAGTGCTGAGGAAATTTTGAAGAATTTCTTGTAATAGACCATTTTTTCTGACTTAAAAATGCCACTTCAGCCAGGCATGGTGAAATGTGCCTATAATTGAAGCAATTGGAAGGCTGAGCAGGAAGATGGTAAGTTCAAGGGCACTGAACTTACACTGCGATCAGTCCAAAACCACAAACAAAACAAAACATAGACTATGTTACAGTAAATAGTATTTCATAATACTAAATTTCAGTACCAGCTTCACTGTCTGTAATGAGTGGGTTACTCAAACTAATGGCACACCTTGATCTCTATGGTGTTTCTACATAGCTTGCTGACTTTCGAGAAACTATTATGAAGATGTTGGGATTTAACATGAAAACAGCAGACAAAGAAGTCATCAATAAGCTGAAGCTTGTGATACGAGTTTATGAAATCTCCAAAAGACCAAAGATCGCTTCTGATTGTGAGACTGGACAGGACAGATGAGCACAGCTCTGCCTTTGCAGTACTGTGCAGAGCTCACGGTGCAGCTGCTTTCTACAGTGTCTTGAGTGTGTCTACGTAATGAATAAAATGCACTGGAAAATTTTCACTTAAATCTGTTCTCTTCTATCATGTTTAGTCCTTAACTTTTCTTTCTGATAGTCCTGTTTTTCATATTTCTTTCTGGTCTAGTCTATACTGCTATTTGTAATATCCAATACCTATAAAATTGCCCTTACTGTTTTTAAGCAGGACATGAATCAGAAACTTTTTTTTTTTTTTTTTGGTCTTTTTGAGACAGGGTCTCCTGTAGCCCCAGCTGGCCTGGAACTCACTGTGTAGACCAAGCTGGCCTGGAACTCACTCTGTAGACCAGACTGGCCTTGAACTCACAGAAATCTGCCTGCCTCTGCCTCCTGAGTGCTGGGATTAAAGGTGTGTGCCACCACGACCAGCCCAGAAACGTATTCTTAATTGCAATATTTATATTCCTATTTAATAGCCTGTTTCTAGAACAAATAATTTATTGGATAAACAATCCCCCTTAGAAATGCAAGGACAGTTATATTCTATTCTTTGAATCTATTTTATTAACTGAGCATATGGATATCAGATATGATATGCTAAGGGAGGTTGTCTTCCAGTTAATGATTACTTTCTTATTAATTTTTTGTTTCTTTGTTTTTGTTTTGTTTTGTTGTGGTGGTGTTTTTTTTTGTTTGTTTGTTTGTTTTTTTGAGACAGGGTCTCTGTAATCCCCAGCTGTCCTGGAACTCACTATGCAGACCAGGCTGGTCTCAATCTCATAGAGATCCTCCTGCCTGAGTGCTAGGATTAAAGGTATGCACCATCAATACCCAGTTTGCTTTTGTTTTTTGAAATAAGATCTTATTATGCATAGCTACATGATGTGAGTTCTGGGACTCAAACTTGGGTCTTCAGCAAAGGCAGTACACACTGTTAAATGCTGAGCCACCTCTGAAGCCCTTTGTTGTTCATTCTTTTTTGTTTGTTTTTTGAGAGAGGGTCTCTTGTAGCCAGAGGTGTCCTCCAACTTGCTGTGTAGCCTAAAGCTGTCCTTGAACTCCTGATCTTGCCTCTACCTCACAGTGCTGGTATTATAGGAGTGTGCCACAACTTCCAGCTCTGTTTTGGAAGGGGAGAGTGACAGGATTTCACTTATGAAACCTGATCTGGCCTGGAACTCACTGTGTAGCCCAGGCTGGCCTTGCAGCAATCTTCCTGCCACTGCTTCCCAAGTACTAGGATTTCTGGCTGGAGCCACCATGCACCGCTTCCAATGCAGGACTCCTAAAGGGGTAGTCCTGGCTGGATCTCAAGGAAGTACTCTAACCATGCTAGACCCTCAGGGTTCCTAACTCAACAGCCACTTCTTTTTCCTCTGTTGCTACAGTCCGTTTGTTAAGAGTCCCACAGTCTGAGTGGGTCTGTGCTCAGAGCAAAGATGCATGCTGGTCATACCAAACTAGTTGGACTGTCCCATTTCCTTAGCCAGTAACAGTTTTGTTTAGACAGAAAAGTGCCAGGAGAGATTCAGGGAAAGTTTTCCTTGATCTTAATGACACAGGAGAGTTGATATTTTCCTTTCAGATATTGTGCTTGAATGTGACCCTTGAACGGCTAAGTCATCTAGAATCACGAGTGAGCTACTGTGAGGACAAAGTGGGATACCCAAGGGCAGCAAGCAGATGGGAAAGGCAGATGTGATGACAGTGCTGAGCTTCTGGATTAACCTAATTTAGAGGTTCCCTATTCCTAGATTGCTGAGTGACACCTAACGTTTCACTTTCCACTTACTTCCCCTGTGTTGACTTCCATGAAATCCAACTGAAATGTCACTCATCGGTGGGACAGCTCATTTGCTCTATCTGTATAGAAATAGTGGGCAGGCAGAGTCTCTCTCTCTCTCTCTCTCTCTCTCTCTCTCTCTCTCTCTCAGATAGGGTCTCCCTGTAGCCAGAGTTGCCCTGGAACACTCACTATGTAGATCAGACTGGCCCCAATTTCACAGAAATCTGCCCGCCTCTGCCTCTCAAGTGCTGGGATTAGGGATCAAAGGTGTGCATCACACCTGGCCCCAAAGAGACACTTTTCAAAGGACAGTCTCTAGCACCTTTCCTTTCCCTCAGTGTTGGTCAGCCGGGAGCGGTGGTAGTAGGCAGGTACATCATTGAGCAGGCCTCAGGTATTAGGACCCTAAGTGTTTCAGGCTCTTGTTGCGGTCACTGTTACAGCTCTTAGCATGGGGACTGAGACCCTTGTCCCTGAAGACTTGACAGTGATCTGGAACTCTTCACTTTCTCCTCTGGCTTCTTATAACCTTTCATCAGCTCTCTATCTTTCTATTTTTGCTTCCTTTCTTCCTCCTGCTCTGGCTGCTGTCAAACTGTCAGCTGTTTCTTTAGTTGACGGGCACCTGGCCGCCATCCCTTCCAAAGCTCGGTGACTGCTGCCAGGATAACTTGAGTGTAAGTCATTCCTGGCTAATCTCCTTGCTTTCCTTTTGTTCTGTTCTTGGAGATTAGCTGAATAAATGATTAAATATTGTTTCAATGAGTCACACACATCACACAGTGATTTAAAGACCAACAGAAATCTAGCTAGTCATACTCTTTCCCATCCACCAGAGGGAGGCATGAACCTGCTTTGGAGATTAAATCCTTGCAGACGTTCTGATTAGAACCTCTGAGCCAACTCTATAGCAAGTGGTCCTGTGCAGAATTTGAGGCCTGAATCCACCTGTGCAGGCCTGGAGGTGCTTGGGATGGTAAATGATGCATAGTGCAAGAAAAGAGAACAGGAGCACATTAGGAAGTGAGGACATTGGTAAACTCTGTCTCTATTGCTAACCGTGAGGTAAATGACCTATGCCAGGAAACCAGCTCTTAAAAACTCAGGGCGCGCGTGGTGGTGCACGCCTTTGATCCCAGCATTCGGGAGGCAGAGGCAGGCAGATCTCTGTGAGTTCAAGGCCAGCCTGGTCTACATAGTGAGTTCCAGGACAGCTGGGACTACAGGGAGACCCTGTCTCAAAAAGACCGAAAAAAAAAAAACAAACAAACCCCAAAAAACAGGGCCAGCAAGATGGCTCAGTGGATAAAGGCACTTGCCACCAAGCCTGACAATCTGAGTTCAATCTCTGGAATACATATGGAAGAAGGAACTGTCCTCTGACCTGCAGTGTGCCATGGCATGCCTGCCTGCCACCCCATAAATAGGTAATAAATGGACTTAAATTGACCAAGAGAACAGCCCAAAGTGTTCACTTCAATTCATGCCCCATGGGGTTTTTTTTTTTGTTGTTGTTGTTTGTTTCTTTTTGAGACAGGATCTCACCACGTAACTCTGGTTGGCTTAGAACTCACAGAAATCTGCCTGTCTCTGCCTTCTGAGTGCTAGGATCAAAGGTGTGCACCACCACACAGACCAGCTACCCTACGGTATTCCAAAAGAAACAGACTTGAGCATCCCTGAACTTCTAGCTACTTGGGAGAAAACTTAAGGTAACTGATTCCTACCGTGGCTGATTTCAAGCCTCCATGAGCTTAACAACCAAGTTATAAATTTCTTCCATGTCTAATGACTAACAATCTTGAGGCAGTGAGAGCAGGCTCCTGCATGCTACTGACCCTTGTGGGGCCTTAGTTACTTCTGTAAAATGGTGGGCGGGGGGGCAACTCTAATCATTATGTAAACTCTGCTGCACAGTAGACATAGGAGTACTTGAATGTTCCACTAGTGACTTACGGAAAATGGACATTCTAAGATGTGCCCCACACTTGTCACAGGTGACTTGTAATCCAGGGATGTGGGGAAACCTTGCTCTAAATTCCTCTTTAATTAGTTCTTTCTCTGACTCACTTCACAGCTGACACTGATGAGGAGGTGTGTGCAGGGTACTAGGACTCATCTAGGACTGCACTTCATTCCTTAGCTACTTCCTCGACCCTCAGAGCCCAAACCTCCCTAACCAGGAAGCCTGCTCCTTGCCCCTCATGAGCTAAGACTTTCTTAGATCTGGAAAGCCCTCCATTTCAAGGATCTCTGATTGTTTTTCGAGCTAACACTGAGACTTTGCAAGGTACCAGGTACTTTACAATTAATTTCTAAGCAGGCTTTGTGATTCAGGCCTATAATCTATGCTACTAGGAGGCTGAAGCAGGAGGACTGAAGGTTCAAGGCCAGCCTGGGCAACTTAGTAAGACCCTGTATCAAAACAAAAAGTAGGGCTAGGGAGATGGCTCAGTGGGTGAGACAGGTGAGAATGCTTGCTTTGTAAGCATGAGGACCTGAGTTTGAATCCTCAGCACCCAAGCTGGGTATGGTTACACTTCCCAGCATTGGAGAGTGGATCCTGAGAGCTTGCTGGCCAGCCAGCCTGGCCTAAACAACAAGCTTCTGATTCAGTAAGAGACGCCGTCTTAGGCAATAATGCATAGAATAGGGAGGAAGACACCTGTTTTCCCTCTGGGCTCTGCATGCGCATGCACAGGTGTGTGCACCTGCAGACTCCTGTGCATACTGCCCCCCCTCCCCGCCCCACAGAGTAGAATATGGGCTGGAGAGTTGTAGAGTGCTTGCCTAGCATGTGAAGGTGGTGCTTGGATCAATCCCTACTACTGCAAAGCGAAACAAAATTTATCTGTCATTTCTTCTGTGAAGTAGATTTTTACACTATTCTTGTTTTACAGTGAAAGATCAACATGGTCAGGTAAATGTCCAAGCATACAGCTGGTAGGTAGTTGACATGAAAACCCACCCCACACCCTGGATTCCATCCCTGCTGTGGGCAATTCTGACCTATCTGCCCTAGTCCCTTTGTGTTGTCTGCCCTACCCACAGAAATCCTTCCCATGACTATAAAGTGAGGTTGGAGGACAGAGTCAATGGAGGTGGTTTCTAGTCTTCAGGTTCCCTTAAAGAAGTTTCTAGAACACCAAAGAGGAAGAATGGCAGGGACTCCAAGGGAATCTGCAAGGCTGGCTTCACACTTGAAGGACTAAGATGAGACTCCAGGGAAGATCAGCACCCTTGAGGTCTGAAACCCAGTCAGCTCAGGTAAGGAGTTCTGAGACTTACCATGAATCTCTTTCA